AATTYGGATTTCCCTCAATTGGATTTTCAAATCAGATCAGATCAAAGAGTAGGATTTGATTAAAAATTGGATTGAATTCAGATCACCCCTAATTCGATCCAATCTGATCATATATATACATACATAATATACATATTGTTTATTTGTTTATGAATATATTTGTATTGCATTTTTGTAATTTTTATATTATTTATTTTTTATAAAAGGATATGCATATATATAATAAAAATAGTTGAAAAAATTGTATTTTTTGTTTTTTCTTTATATATACTTTATGTTTTTTTTTCCTTTTAACAATTTGTTAAATTTTACATAAATTAAATTGGATTCGATTAGATTTGGATATCCAACATTATATCACTAGCGAATTCAAGTTACCTTGTGAGATTTGATACGATCAGATATAAGATTTATATTATTGGAACGGATTCAGTTATACTTCGATTCAAAATTCAATCCAATCTATTTGCATCCCTATAGAAGAGCACCGCATGTTTCACTTCAGGGCAGTTCATGTCACATTGGAGGGCAATTGGGTAATTTTGCAAAATGACTTGAACATACTGTAACAGTTACCTAGTACACATGGACTAACCTGATTGGGCCACTAACTCCTACGGGTGCATTGCGGGCTAATGGCCAACCATGTAGGATTATCTCGAACATTATGAATAGAGAAGGTGGACGGACCTAGAGAGCTGGTACGGGATCCATTACTCCGATGTCTAACACCTCTCTCCTCTATAAATAGGTAATCCACCCAAGCTACCTCACACTCTCATTCTCTCGTCTATCCCTTTGAGTACTCTCACCATTCTCACTAGCCCTTACACACACCTTGGTACATTTCACACATCGGATTTCCCACTGAGCTCATTAGCTCCTCAACATTTACAATTCCGCAACCATCGCCGAAGATTCGACCTCGATGATCCATTTTGAGGCCTTTGATGTTATATCTGTAATTGCGGGTTGAACACTCACGTGGAATCTGGATCACCAGTCAACAAAACACGTTCAAACCCTTTGCCAACATAATCTCACACCGTATGTTCCATACCTGGCGGGTYCCACTTTTATGGTGGGTCTTAGTCTTATAGTGAGATGTACGTTATTAGATCAAATTGATAGAGGGTTGGAACATGTTTTGTTGGTAGAAGATCTCTAATTTCTTATCATGAGGTCTTCAGTTAGGGGTGTATGATTTGGTTAATTGGATCATGGGCAATTTTTGTAAATCGAACCGGTACCAT